AAGGATGTGTCGCCTGGTGGAGGTGCGGGTTGCTGTGGTTCGCATGGTTCGCTGGCTTTGCCGCGCATCCACGCTCTGCATAGCTGATACATTGAATCTGTATGACCATCGCGTAGACCGAAGGGTTTGCCACGTAACTCGAACACAACTTCTGGAAATGTGCAACTCACTTAAAAAGAGAAGCAAGTGGATCCAATCCATTCAATCAAGAAAGAATACATTAGATTTAGAGAGGCTATTAAAGGAACTCAATAGTACTACAATAATCGAATGATTACCGTCAATCAGAAATAAACATCTAAAATATTAGGTCGTGAAGAAAGTTCTTGCGCTTTTCGACCTTGATTTTCAAATGCCTGTATCTCGGCTCATTCGAAACCTTTTTGATTGGAGTAAAGACTGTTAGAATCCACAAACCTCTGCCAATAATAGCTGCGTTGAATCAGCCCGGTAGTGCAGAATACTGGAGCTCTAGAGACGATGAACCCGGCGGAGGTCGTTTCCGCATCATGTTGGTTTTTGAAGCATAACTCTTTGGAGAAGCTATCCAGGTAGTCGAGAAAGTGACAAATTATAGGCAAAAGGTCTACCGAGTAGGATGTTCGCAGGACTAATTCGTAGCCAATCTTGTCAACTTCTGCAGGGTTGGTTGTGGAATGTGCGTCCGAGCTACCTGTCAGGGACGAGCCGGTTCCTTTATAATGAGGAATTTCGAGCATATGTGCCAGAGTTCTAGGAGTAGTTTGACACATTATCAGGAGTACTTTTTCCACATTAACAGATCCACCTGGTTACGAAAAGCTAGACCAGCCGCTGACCTTATGAAAGTCACCTCAACCTTCCTTCAGTGAAGTTTCACTTTTGCAAAGTTTGTAGAGCCTGATCGCGGTCGATCACTTCACCAAAGGTTCGTATTCTGTAGCAAAGAATCCGTTCTTTGTCGTGCGTCGCAAATGATCAAAAAGTCAGGTCGTTTTCATGGCATGAAACAAGCTAGAACGCGGCGAACGACCCTTCAAAATGGTGAGCTGTCGCGGCACGCCCTATTTGAATTTTTGGGACTTTCCAGCTCTTCCCGTACAACAAGAAAACACAATGCAAGTGCGATCAGTTTAGGAGGAACCCTCTCAATAGATTTGTGCAAACGTGCTTCAACCAGAACGTTCGACTAATCGTTGGCGTTGTCCAATCTCCGATCACCACCCTCACAATCTTTAGGGCTCTCGCTATTCTTACAAAAGCTTTTTGAACAATTGCTTCAGACCATATTTATTGCGAATCTCAGCCAAGTGCGTCTATAATATCTTGACCTGCTTCCTCTCCATACTGGCCTGCTTTGAGCTAGAAAAAGGAAATCATGCAAATTTGCTCTTGGAGTATGCCGTATTCAAGGCTTCAAAAAATGACAACTAAATAATAAGGAACATAGCTAGCCTAGCTGTTAGATAGAACAAGAAAAGCTCTTCAAAACCACATACAGCTCATTGGCAGCTTGCTTGAATTCGTAACAAAATAAAGCGTTCAAAAACGAAACACCGAAAAGCGCAAGAACTTTCTTCACGACCTAATACTTCATTAGTAGGTAGATGAGACTCACGTTTGTCCTTGTTCTGTACTTTCCTCGGTCGGCCTGGTCCTCTTCGCAACTCGCTCGCTTCCGCTCTGGAAAAGTCTAATTCTTTCATGTGTTGTAGTGACACGAATT